TGGATTAAACTGTCCAGGTCTGCTGCCACGGACTGTCACGCGTAAAAAGTACCATACGGGACCTCATCGAGGCCGGATAGATCAGTCATGACCGCAGTCGTAACAAATACAAGCTTGTAACTCAATTATTGGCCACTGAGCGTCTTAAAACTCAATGCTACACCTGCGGACCCATTGTCCTGTCGGTTCTGATTTAGAATATTAGCCCTAACGTGGCTTAAAGCCCGCCGGGGACATACCTTATCAATAGTGGTGCCGGTGGCCTTTGCAATATCCTCGAAGCTGACAGTACGCTTGTTGGGAGGTCGGCGGAAGAACAGTTCCATCAGGGCCAGCAGTCTGGCCTTCTCTTCCAGCAATGTGGCGGCAGCTGCCAGGTCCTTGTTTTGCGTCCAGGTAGGCTTGAGAGCGGCAATCTTCTGTAGATCGCCCTTGTTAAAGGCGTGAAGCAGGTCCACTAACCAGGCGTTCTTTGCGTTGCTGCGCAACTCCTCGAGAACTTCGTGTGAAATCTAAAAGGAGGAGGAAGGCAGTGAGGCGGTTAATAAGGTATACTACTGAAATAGTTAAAGTAGTTGGGTCTGGCCCGTCGGGTCAACAACCAGTCGTATTTTAAGTCTTTACCCAGAAGGCTGGGGATTAAGCTTGTAGCAATTGCTCCAATGTTCCAATCCTGATGGCCGCGGCGAGCCGGATAACCGATAGGCACTCCACCAAGGCACGGAGGCCTCCGAGTCTGGACCTCAGTTTTGTCCCGGACACACTATCTTACGCACATCGCCCAACCTGCCTTGTCCCCCACTGTCCCTTGTGGTTGATTACGCGCCCCGGACTGCCCCTTTAACCTAACCAATCACACTTAACATCCCCCCCGCCTACTGGCGCGAACAACGAAAGACCGTACACAACACTTCGCTGCCCTCACACTCCCGTACGACCCCACTGTTTACACGCAAGCAAACAGTCAATTCACGGCAACTTGCCTTGCGTACCCAATAAATTGCTCCCAACAGCTGATTGCCTTCTTCCACTAGACAGAACAATCTTAGAGATCGTGGTTACAGTAGATCGCTCATCCTTCACCGCAACATATTGGTGGCCACCAGATGAGCCGAACTCGCAACTTCTAGATGTAACTGAACTCTATTATTATTATCTAAGCCTAGTACCGACGTGGTCGGACTGTGTGGGAAGGGGTGTAAGGAAAATTAATATCAGTTTTGGACTCGGGCACAGAGTCCCATACAAGTGGTGGCGTATAGAAGCAACCAAAGATCGAGCAGTAATACTAACAACGAAAAAGAAATATTTTCATGGAAAGGCAGACTTTCCATGAAATTACATTTCTTGGGATGCCTGCCTTTCGGTTTATACGAAACGAAAAAGAAATAGTTATTTATAGCATATCTGCTCCCGACTGATGCTAGTTATCAGCAGGAATTAACTTTGGGTGGAAAATTCACAAACTTTGACTGCCCGTAGTCACACTACCGGGCCGGTTAACTTAGACGCGTTAACGACACGCGGACA